CTCTCCTATCAATATGGGCCAACATTTCTAAAGAATGCTTTCAGCACCTTGTTGAATCAATGCCACGTAGAATTAAGGCAGTTCTGAAGGCAAAAGGGGGTCAAACACCGTATTAGTATGGTGTTCCTAATAATCCTTTAGGTGAGTGTATTTACCAAATAATAATATACACATCTATTATGTAATATACCTGTATTAATTAATATTATATAGTTATTATGTAGGCTGTTATGTAAGATGCAGCTAAATGACAGGACTAGATCAAGCTAAATAATTTAAGTCAAAGTAATGACAGATAGGCTAGACTACCCCAGGAGGCTAATGGAAAAATAGATTATAGTTATCTATGGCTAACGTCGCATTATTCAGTGAGTCTGTGAATATATATTTTTAAAGAAGTTGTTCTATTGCAGTAATGCTGTTGTGATATTTAGGCTCTGCAACGACTGTATATTCATTCACTTATAATTGGAAGTGCTCCCATAGCTGAGAATTTCGCTCTTTTTATTTATACCGTCCTCCGCTATACTACGCTGAGTAATCCAGAAAGCATTTTTTAATTGATGCTTTAAAAAAAATCGATTAATCGAGTTTAATCAAGTAACCGTGTATGCTCAACGCAGTAGTATATTTGACAGATAAACAGTAGTTTCTTATGATAGTCACATATGAATCAAGCTGTAGGCTATAGTTTTTACCTTTTACAAAACTTTTTTATAATGCATACTTGAATATCTTAAAAAGTGTTCTTTAGTCAGCCGTGTAGCAATCTTGCCTAACATATCTGTGTTTAATGGTTCATGTCGCACCTCCGCTTTGTTTGTGCAATATGCGTGTTATTCCCAGCCCTTACACTTACAGTTTCCACCCATATCCAAAGACACGCGTTTAGGCAAAATTATATCTCTGAATTGTTTGTCTTTTTTGTTTGTCTTTGTAGGTGTAACAGATTGGCATCCCATCTAGGGTCTGTGCTGACTGGGATAGGCTCCAGCCCCAGCCACAACCCTAACTAAGATAAACAGTTTGAAGACAGATAAACTTAATGAATGCCTAATAATTCCAAGCACCTGAACTGGGATAGGTTGCTGCTATTGCTGATGGTAGCCTTGTTTTTTGCAACTGCTCCATGTTGGCTACAAAATCCATCACATACAATTAATCTTTGTTTTAATGCATCTTTTAAGGGGTACGAGTTCATTTTCCATCATTATATTACTGTTCATTAATACTTCATGGCAGCAAGCTGATTTGATATATTTATTAAACATGTTGCCTAAGGTGGGTGGCCCAGTGGATAGGCACTTCCACTCTCATACCTCTATGGCTGGGGGTTCGATTCTTGTCTCCACTGGGCGAGTGGAGTTTTCATGCACTCCTTGTGTCCTGCAGATTTCATTCTGTAGTTCAATGATATGCAGGTATGCTAAATGGTGCCTTAAAGATTCCAATAGTGTATGAGTGTGTGTCCTGTGATTGGCTGGATACCTGGTGCCCTATTATGCCTGGGATTAGCTCCAGGATGCCCCATGACCAAGGTATGCAGTTTTCTTAGCAAGTTTAGCAATTGCTAGTCATTCTAACATGTTTATAATCAAAGGGGTAACATTGTACACTTGCCCACATACTGTCAAGTTAGCAAAAAACTACCTTCTTTCTTGTTTTTCTGTATGTTTTATATTGAGTGATTTGTTGGAATTTTACCTGGATTCATGTTCACACACAAAAACACAACAAAAGTGATATATTAATTAACACAGCTCATCGGTAGCAGGGTCCCCGACTAGCTGCTTTAAAGCTTATACCCCTTTTGCAAACATCCTTGTTAAAATTATTCACTTTACATTTAAGCTATTTTTAAGCTTGTGACTGAGGTGTAAACACTGGTAACTTTCAAAAATGCTAATCGGTACATTTGAATAACGTCCTGGGGGCACTCATACATAAGACATCTGCCCCGACAGCCCCCCCTCCCCCCCCCCCAGCAGCCCCCTTGACCATTTCCCCATTGACCTGGGGGTCCCCTTAATTCAGCCCACTCCTCATCCGTGACCCTGCCACAATCAGCGGTCCTGCCGTGGGGACAGAGTGACCAGAGTTCAAGGTAAATTTCCTTTTCTTTCCCTCTCCTCCCTCACTCCTGTGTCCTCTCCGTCTCGCACTCACATTCTAAGCCCAGTTATTAATCATATGCTGCTTCTCAAAGATTTGTCAGCAAAAAAAAAAGCATGACTGCTTTCACAAATTAAAATCTTTTGAATTCAGGATTTCTGCTTTTAAGCTGTTTGTCATTTCCATTTTAATTCAAGTGACTCCCTTTTAATTTAGATGTGACAGCTTCGTATAACAGAACCCTATGGCATATATTCTTAAATTAGCAAGGATAATGCAGGACTAAGATCATCCAGAAAAAGATTATTTTTAAATCACCAAGTTCTTCCTACTCAAATGTTTATGTACTATTGGTTTGTTGAAAATGCAACACTATCAAATTAGGAATAATCGGGTCTGAACTTGGCTTACGTTTTTGTTAATGATCCACCATGTTAAGGAAATGCTGTGCAACTCAACCCACCTCATTCTTTGTATGGTAACTGTGTGTCAGTTTAAACATTTTTGTTTAAAAGATGTTGTTTATCCCAAAACATTACTGTTTGATGCTGCCCATATGAAGTCCATCTAGGGGTTCATCTAAGTCAGATATTTTCTCCCCAGTCCAAAGAAAGATATCTAATATTTCTCAGAAAAATATCTTTGATTCCGACAATAAATAATTGCAGTCAGGAGTGTACTAAAATAATCACATATCACTGGGGACCTCAAATTAAAGTTCGTAAATGGAAGGGTCGGTGTGGTTCACTGTAACATGGAACATAATTTCCAG